CCGGAGTGATAACTTGCTGAGATTAACCACCCCCCTCGCCCACGCACACATTCCCAGTCCCGAGGCCACCAAATGTGTGAAAATATATTTTTTGCGAAATCGACCATCATGAAGAAATTGCTTTTCGACGTCATGTGATGGTGATAAGCACCGCATCAGCCAACGCAACACATACATGCACCCCGTTGGAATTACGCTAAGGATCTCAAGAAGCTTTCGCAGAAACCTAACAGTCAAGTTTCTACATTGCGTCTATGTCGCATCATCCTATGAATCAGACTGCTGATTTAAGATACCCAGTTTTTATTTCTAGAAGTGGATTCCAGTACCTTAGTGTACACATAAATTTTTAGATAGCTGTGTGAAAATATCCATTCGGAAGAGACGATCGGAGGTAAAAAGATCAACAATATTGGCTAAATTTTTAACTTTTCCCAATCCTCGTATAATTTTAATCCATTATTAAATAACTGTTTGAACCTACCTTTATATTTTACTTGAGTACTGAAGGGTTACAATAATCATATAAATAGAGGGAGCTTCACATTGTCTGCCGTGTTCCGATCGTATTGCTCCAACCTTCCTGTTAACAATACAACCCCAACCGAATATATATATATATATATATATTTAACACCGGCCTGCCAACAAGCATGATGCCAATGCCACAACAATAATAACAATAACAGGGGATGGGTGGATTGGGATACAGAACAGAGTGAAAAGAAGATGAAAAGGTTAAAATGGAAAATAGTAGATAACTGGAATAACAAATTTTTGTGGGTCTTTCACCGTACACGTTTTATTATATTTCTTGTTATTTTGTAGTTTTTTTTCACGGGTCACGGGATTTCGGCGGGCAAACTGTACAGTATTCTGAGCCTTATCTCTCAGCATCTCTAACCAACGACAATCCTCATGCCTTGGACCCAAATCTGGAAGGTGAACTGCACCAACCGGAGCCACAGCTGAACCTAGCTTCTTCATATTGAATGAATTGGGGTTATCGAAAATGTTGTCACACTAGTACCCGTAACAGATATGAGGGCTGAGCCTAATCAACTTTACAAAAAGACACTTTTTCATTAACTTGACCGAATATGCAGTCACGTGAAAACATAAAACAGCAAAAAAGATTCAATAAAATCACAAACGCTTACCGGTACTATCGAAACCTTTGCGAACAAACCACTCTGTGACTCGTCCGTCTGTGGAAACGGAAACCAACACCTCGGACAAACTCTCGGCTCGACCTGATTCACGAACAACCCACAAAAGTTTGCGCACTGCACCAAAATGTCTCCCAGCTGCATGACTACAATGTCACACAGGTTAGAGAGATCCGAGAGAACGAAGGTGGGGGTGGGATAATAGAGTACAAAATTGATTCCTTTATGCGTTCATATTTGTTTCTCTATCATCAAGAAAACAGTCAGTTATTGGATCAAGTCTTTACCTTTATTTTTATCTCTTGGATACACAACTGTACGGCCAATTATCCGGAAGCGGGCCATGACCAATTCGAGATTCTCTGAGGGAATGCAGAAATAGACAACATGCGCGGTGGACGACCGCTTAACCGCTCATTCACCGCAGTTCTTTAAACTATCATCAGGCTCGGATACCAACATATAACCGGAGCATTTCGATTTGGTTATGTTTGCAAATAATTGATCGTCTCTTCGAATGAATATTATTTCCCTATCTGATTTTTAATATAGTAATCTACAAGGGAATATTTTTACTTGCATTTATCTAATGCTTCAATTATGCAATCAAAATCCTGACAAGCGGAGGGCAAAACCTACAGAATGGCTGCTGGGAATACCTGCTGTACAACAGGGCCAAATGGGACTGGGTTCGATCTGATGAATGAAAGAAATATAACGCATAATCACTGCTGAGGTGGCTGGATACTTCCATGTAGAAAAGAAAGAAAGACAGAAATGTCTCTTTACTCGATAATAACCGATTGAACATTGCAACATCTCGTTCGCATCTCAGTCTGATCGTCATCCGGAAACTTGAAGAGAAGGATAAAGAACTTCTCATGCAGTCGAAGTACAGTGGGATTGCATAAGAGCTCACAATTGCAAGGAACTGGACGCATTGGCAACAGCCGCAAGTTCTGTGTACCCGACCTAACCTGACCTAACTTCCTTTATATTTATTGAATATACAAATGTACAGTCAACATTTAGGAAGGGGGCTCGCGGCCATACAAAGTTGGGTCGATGGATTTGCACTGCTGATGAGACCCAACCAAGTCTAAATAGCTGTCCAGTGCTTCCTAGCTTTTCAGTTCATGCTTCATGTGCTATATACACCATGAATTCACCTTTCAAGGTTAAGTGTTTATAATGATAGAATATCTTCATCATGCATCCATGAGTAAAAATCAGAATGGAATTTAGGCATTTGCAAAATTTCCTAACCCATCCCGGTTAATCTGCTATATAAGGTGGCATATCATTATTGATGAGGCCCACGTTGACACGTTGCCCGTATTGTAACAATAGACGGTAGATGACTCCGAGATAATCTATCGGATGCTTAAAGCCCATAAACAAGACTTCAGTAGTATTTAAATGAATGGAAAGGTATCTGATAAGTGTCTGAATTATATTGCTTTTTTGCCCATCAGGTATGCGATGCATTCGTTTTTACAGTGAGGGTTTACTCGCGTTGTGAGTAGTGTTTTGTACACATATTGATCAAATCCTTGCAAATTTATTGGATCGGCAGAAAAGGTGTTTCAGATTGGGCTGTAAAACACGTTGGCAAACTGATGATGGACCGTGGAACCATTATTCAAGGCTAGTTCATACGAGAAGTTAACATTTAATTCAAAATAAATGTATTTTTGGTTGATTGGAACTGATCATCCGTCATCCTTCACCTTCACGCACATTCCTGAGCTCTTTCGGCCACCCAAGCAACACTCGGTGGTACTAGATTCGAGTTTCGCTTTTATTGGAGCTCATCAATAGTGCATGTCCATCATCCTGCCCGGGATTTGAACTGCAGACCCATCGCATGGAAGGCGTGTGTGTTGCTGTTACTGAAGATCAGTTCCAATCAATCAATACCAATGAACACAGAACATTAAGCACAAATAACTGAGTTAACTGAGAAATGTTTTTTGTTTGTTGCCCTATTAACCTTTAAATTATTTCCTTTCTGTATTTAGACACAATAATAACTTGAAAGTTGACGAATGGAAACAGTCCACGAACATTGACTTGGGATGGCAAACAAATGTGCTTTTCTATTTTAACGAGCAAGTTATCACTGGAATTGATCGCATCCTATCTTCCGGATGGCCGGTTGCTTGTAGAATTGAAACAAAATGATGATTAGTTCGATCACTAAAGTTCACTGCAATATTGTAAGGGATTTAGCTCAAGCTAAATTCCAAGAGAATTTGCGATAAATAAATGAACATCTATCTGAAATGACAGATCAAGACACGCATATGGAGCTGTTCAACATGTTCAGTTCATTTCACTTCAATTTTTCACAACCATTCATCATGCGCATTCGTGTACCGGTTTTGGTTACTATCTTTTGGCTACCCACTTAGATAAAGGAGCAGACGCATTAATGGAATGTTACGCATAGAGTCATAGAGAAGATAGAGAATTCATATCGAACAAAGGTATAAGAACAACAAGCAAATGCACGAGCGCCACTGTTTGCTGCACGCAGCCAATGTGCCCCGAGAATTGTGCATTCATTGACCCTGTGAGTGAATTGTATTGAATCATATACACCGATTTAAAGCTTGACACATTCGTGCATGTTTTTACTCACATATGTTTTTCAACAAGCATGGTGCCAATACAGCAACTCATTCAAAGAGGGACGAGTATACCACAGTGATCATTGAACGTAGAGAAAGTTGTGTCAACAATGTTTGGGGGTACAGTTTGAAGAGAATGGCTGTCTTTTTGTTATTACTGGTTCTCAAGTCTAACTGATACAACTACAGTAATATTTAGGCATCTTGTTTCGTAATCCACAAACTGAGTTTTATGTGATTACTGACAAATTACAAAGGTCCTCTTGCAGTAACTCACGTTGTATCGATCACCGGCTCTGGTGTATTCTTACGAACATCGAACACATAGATCACGCCACTGAACATGCCGACCTGTTCGAAAGAAACGGAGAAAAACAAATTTGCTATAGATTTAAAAAAATTATTCTACCTAATAATAAATGAACATTCTGTATTTCTTCCACCGGCAGCCCTTTAATAGGCCAGTTTTGCCTTTCTGAAAATTGCAATAAAAAACAGTCAAATGAAAAGAAAGTGAAGAACAGTGCTTTGCAAGTATCCGGATTTCNAATATCACATTGCTTACAGCCAGTAGATTCGAGTGAATTTTCGACCAGCCGACCGCGGTCACTCCACTCGGGGTCTCGTAATACCGTTCCGGATGTTCGATGTATTTAAGGGACCAGCAACAAACCAAACCTTTTCGCTGATTTTCGAATTCGTATTGTCCATAACCCACGGCCAATATGTTTGGATCTTCTCGATTCCAAGCCATATCGGAAATGTTTCTTCCCTGTGCAAAAAACAAACAAATCACAAATCAAAGCAGTGACTTCGGATATTTCGAATTTGGATGTTACTAAACTATTCTGTATAAGTACGATGATTACTGATGTGAGAAAAGTAAAACTTTTACAATTCGTTTGAAAGTGACATCGAAGTTAGTGATTAACCGAGGATTATCATATATAGATTGACTGGAACTGACCATCCTTCAGACTTCACCTTCAAGCACATTCCTCAGCTATTCTAGTCAACCATACATGCGTTGGTTGGTCATAGGTTTGAGTGGAAGAACTGAGGAATGTGCGTGACGGTTAAGTCTAAAGGATAGTCAGAACAAATTAATATCAATAATCCCACACTACTATACATATATATGTATATATGTATATATATGATGCGTCCACCGGGAGAGATGTAGCTGCCCAAATTACAAGACTTATCCACTTGCTCTATCACTTCCCCGGTCGGAGTCAGTCTGGGTGCTGGACCAACCCAGTCTTGTAGTAACATTCTGCACTTTGAAGGTGCGAAACACATACCGAACATGGCTACACTGGCATTCAAGCTGTCCAAAAAAGCTTGCAAACTTACTTGGGTCTTCCCTTAGCACCACAGCCATTCATCTAAATAGGTAGCCAAAAGATAGCAAACAAAGTTGGCTCATGAAAGTGCATGGTTAATGGTTGTACAAACCGAAACTGAACTGTACGGTGACAATTCTTAATTTTAGTTTACACAGTAAATAAATTTGTTCTTTTGTGCTCTGTTAACATTGGCTAATCCTACTGGATGGAATAGTTCAGTTTATACAACCACGAATCGTGTACTGTACCGTGGTCGTTTTTGACCACCTTCTGCCCTTATGGATGAGGATTGAGAGAGCAGAGATAGAGAAATTAATGCAATGTGTCAAGGTAAAGTGACAGAAGGATGTGCCTGAGAGGTTCATTTCAATTTGGCAATCTTTGTATGCTAACAGCCGAAGCCCAGTCCGAGTTCACCACCGAAAGTATTGTTCGACAGGGTTGTCCTCTCTCCCTGTTTCTATTCAGTTTTGTCGTCGATTTAATTCCTTCTAAACCCTATCCATATGCGAGAATAGTGTTTGACTGTCTGAGCTGGATTATACAGACGGAATTGTGCTGCTAAGTGAAGATTCAGATAAGTTGTAAGCTTTTCTGGATAACAAGGGAGAGAAAAGAACGCAATTTAAGTTAATTAAGTGCAAATTCACAGACACCGCATTTGTGTGCTGTGTGCCGTCTAATCAATTCAAGTGACCATGTACACAAAAAAGTTGACAACTGACCGTATAGCTCAGCGATTAGGGTTTAAACTACCCACCAGGAGGTTCATAGTTCAACTCCCACCTGAGATAGCAAATTATTACGCTTTCTGCTAACAAGTTGCCCTGTACCTCTTGTTGACTTTGGAAGCAAAAGTTTCCATTCATAAATGTATAGAGTGGAACGCTGACCATCAGCTTGGGCTTCATTTATCTCTCACACTCATGCAGACTCTTGGGTTTTGAGGAAAACTGGAGCTATCGTTTCTCCTAGTTGAATTGAATCTAATTTCACGACAGTCATATTTGATTACTTTCGCTGAAAACGATCGCAATTTAAATCCAACCTAGGCGGTCCACATTCGATTGCGTAAATGAACCGCACGAGGTGTTTGAACAGTAAAACAATTCTTTATTTTAATCGTTCNCTGAACGGAGTTGATACGGTGGTAATATCACCAAATTATCGCTCCGGAGACCGTATGTTAAAATCCCACCGCATTCGCTTGATACTGCAAATTATTTTTGGTATGTCGGCCCTTTGATTGGCTGCTTCCCCGCCCCTGAAAATGGTATCATTATGTATTCAATAAAAGGAAGCAAAAATGAAAAATAAAAGTGTGCAGCAGTTTTCACATGCCTAGTTTCATTTAAAAACTATCCTTCAATTCTAGCCACATCGCGTAGTCGATTATATGATCAAATATACTGTGCATCAGACGAAGAGGAAATAAGTTTGAAAATGATAATTACTTAATACTGCACTAAAATCTTTTACAATCTACCAATAACTCCCCCCCCCCTCTCAGGTATCTATGTTCCCCACACAGTCAGTTAAATTATTCATACTTGTTAATAAAAACCTACTTTTGTCATTGAGCACTGATATCGCCAAAGCAATACTGTGTCGGGATTGAGTGCGGTACGATCATTGCGCGTGAGCATATCACTGCCTCTTCCGGCCATCGCGCTTGATGCCTTTGTGGCACTCCCACCACCACCACCGCCACCGGCTCCACCCGATGTACTTCCACCGCCGCCAACGCTCGTTCCTCCTCCACTCTCATTTTGTGCACCATTACCGAGAACCAATGTTGCCCCGGCGGCCAGTTTAGTGCTAGTTGTGGCTGCATGACCAGCGGAATTCTCATCCAATGTGGCCACTGTTGTAATCCCGGGTATGCGTGTTCCAACGCTCGATGGATCCGTATCGGAACGTTCCAGAGCAGGAGGATTCATTACTGGGTGATGTGAAAGATGCGTGATCAAATAAATAATGTTTCTGGAACCATAAATTGTCTTTTGATGGTATTTTATTCATATAAAGATAAAGTAAACAATTTATCATGCAGAACACAGACAGATTGGATTCAAACGAAGATTGGCTTGACTCAGATTGATCTTTGAATAGTACACATGACACTCAGAGATGTCACAATATTCATTTTAATGATTCGTTGAAATCAAGGTGTTTCAAGAAATACAATACTCGTTTTCGTTAGGCGGAATGAAAGGGTTTACTGTATTCCTAAAAAGGTAAATATTTTGCACCTGTCTCTACATAAAATGAGGAGATTGTTGTTCACTGTCCTTACATGGGATCTCACCTCTAGTCTTCCTTGTACCATCGCTAAGGAACTTCCTCCTGCGACCGTAATCATTCCCTATATATTATAAATGGATCACTTTTGACACTTTGCATATCGTTCATTCACTTTTCTTTCGGTAAGTCAGTATAATGCGAAACCATCGAAACCGTCCAGGGTGAACGCTTCTCATCACTCGCTGGCTTTCTCTCATCTGTTATTCTATGTCCTATACACTTTAGCCCACAGAACTCTACCCTACATCTCACTTGAACTTAATCAGAATGTCTTCTACCACTTGATTGATTTCAAATGCGGATTAGATGGAAAAGCTTATAGTATTTATACATGAGGCTGAACTGAAGATTCAGAGAACACTTTACATTTGATTATAACCTGAAGTCAGTAATCTTATAGTTTTCGGACACCGTTAAGGTTTGTTTCTCATTTTTTTCAAACTGTTCCGAGACGGATTGTTCAAAGTTGCTCACCATGATCTTTGAGCAATCCAATCTTGTTACAAGACATCTATGATTTCAATCAGTTTTCCGATAGGTATCAATTTGTTCTTCCTCTCTCTCTCTCTCTATGATGCTGAGAACCTCAACCAACTTGATGTTTCTTACTTTTATGAAACCCACAAAGAAGACAAATGTCGTGCGAACCGAACATTCAGTTTAATCTCCTCACTCGCTGGTGTACAACAAACTGGCATACATGTAGCATATTGGACTGCTTCATCCGGGAGAAGGAACGTGTCCAATCAAACAAAGATTACTGAACAGAGAAATGAAAGTTCAACTTCTCTGCAAGTGGACTGATTAGGTCAAAAATATTTTGTGCGCATGAAATTGGGCGATGTAGTCGAATAAGCATTTCTTCTCTGAATTCCAAACATTTAACGTGATGATTAAGTACTCGTAGTTAAAAAACGAGTTTTATTGCGATGAGACATTTTGCAATACATTACCTGAAATTTCTGATAATCGCGTTACTATCCATTTTCGGTTGCATTATCGATTTTGCCAACCACTCTGGTATGTGTTCAGCTATTCATTGCGATGGGTCATGGTTTGTTCTGCCTATGAATGTAACCTTAACTGCAGATGAACTGGTACACTGTGTTTGTGTGTGGGACGGAATCGGTTCGCCGCAAGCGTTTACGTTTTTTCCAGATCAATTCCACAAGTGGAGAGGACAAGCCTGAGTTGAGGAGCTGGAGCTGTGCGGTTTGGAATTGACCTCAACTTTTGGCGCACATCATAGTAAAGATGATCAACTATTTTGAAGATAACCTTTAGGCAGATGGCATTTTTGACAACGCTATGGGTTGGATGGCTTTTTACGAATGGTCTTCAGTATGAATGTTTATGAACCTTTCTGACTAACCATTATTCAGCAGTGTTCTCCTCAGGAATTCCTGTTCTTCTTGTAGTGAATCTAGACAACAAATGCTTCTTGCTTCAAAAAGAAAAGGTTCGCGCACGCCCATGTTTGTAAGCCATGGGGATAATCTGGAAAATTTTATCATTCCATACTGCTTCCCGGTAAACAGAGGGTTGCAATATCCTATTTAATTGCCTCATAAATATTGGGTCTAGAAACTATTGAGCAATTTTGGTCTCTACTCCAAGAAATTTAGAGAGGTGTGAATGAGCTAAGGTAAAAAAAGTTGCTAAGTTCTTAAAAATTTTCATCGTCTGTATGAATAAAGATATCGTCGGCACAATTTTGTACGGAGTAGAATCGGCAATATTAAATCTTAGTTTTTCCTTATTAATTCATACAAATACATTTGTCAACATGGGAAACAAGAGACTGCGCATCGCTACGCCATCAGTCTGTTCTGGTCCATTTACACTCAGAAGAAATGCTTTATGTACTTACGAAAATCAGTTTTCTTAAGCATTCAAGGGGAGTACCAGGAGAAAATTATTTGCATACGTGAAGTAATCACACAAACCTCATTTGCGTGAATCCAGCAAATGTGTTGGGGGACTACTAATGGAACTTGGAACGTTCTGACCAAAAATGAGGCGGAGATTCACGGAACATGTGGGGAGATGATGAAGGAGTGATATCACAGAAGTCGTAGAATGGATCTTGCCAAATCACTTTCCTGTGGGCTCATCAGGATAAAAAACATCTTGCATATAGAAACGTAATGACAATCATTGATTGTCAGCACATCCGATAATCTCAATTACTCACCTATTACATGGAAGATATCGATATATATTTATGTACATTTCTCTCTCTTTTTGTCTACTAACACTTTGAGCAGTAGTTGGCATGTAAATGATAAAAAAGACAGTGTTTCACTTAGTAAGTGACTCACTTTTTCGTAAATGCAGCTCTTCATATTGTAATAATTTGTCGTAATATATATTCAAATTCAAAGCTCGTTCCATTCGGTTGAGATCCTTTTGTAACTTGGGCAACTAAACGAAAAAGTGCA